TTGTTGCAATAAAATTGGTGCTTATTTTATTATTTTTGCTATTACGAAAACTACAAATTTTTTTAAGAAAATTTACATTTTTAAATCTTTTTATTTATCATTGTTATTGTTTTACAAATTTGATACAAATTATTTTAGCAAGTTAACAATAATAAAACAATCTTTATAATGCATTTCAAATTAGTTTGTAAATCAAATTTTCTAAATATAGAAATCACTTAAAGCTAGGTTCATCACAAAATCTTCTGTTGTATGGGCAGATTTTTATCAATTGGGCCCTGAATAGAGCTACTAAATTTGGATTAAACCCCTTATTTAATTTCTTTTGATTGGTTTGACGAATGATTAGGATAATATTTTGATTTTTCAAGGGTCTATTCTGCAAGAAGGATTTAATGAATATGCATAAAGTCTATTAAGTTATTTCAAAACCCATTAGATTATTATCTAATTTATTAGTCTGGGTCTAGCGAGATATACAGTTTGATATAGTTATTGTTATGAAAAATAAATCTTCTATCTCAGTCTTTCAGACAATTGTATTGTCAATAACCTGTTCTGCTATAAAAAATTTTTAGGGTACTCTGTTCTCTCTTTTGCATATTGATACAAATCCGCCCATATGTTTACGTGAATTAGTCTGATGAAGTAAAAAAAGTAAAAAATGCAAAACGAATGTATAAACCTATCTTGGTAGAATAAGAAAAAATATCAAGGAGACAATTACACATTAACACTAACCTTAACGTTAATTTAAATTTGTGATGGACCTGACTTCAAGCATCCTCTAAATGCATATTAACAATTATACAAGATGCAATTATTCTATATACTTGATTATTAATTAGTTAGTAAATAAACTCTTTATAAGTTCAAGAATTGTATTTATACATTTTAACTTTGGAGAAATGCTGAGCTCTCATTAATGATTATCTATCCCAGTCTGAGGGTTATTCACTCTCGCTAAGGGGTTGTTGAAAGTTATTCGCTTTTATTGTATTAAAACCATCTTGATTATTCATGAACCCAAATAAGAATATATACAAAATAATACACTAATTTAATATGTAGAAGCATTAAGTTATATAAAAGGTGGATGCGTATTATTTCAGGACCAAATAGATAAATGAAATTCGAATTAACTGCTATTACACACAAATATGGTATACTTTAACACAAAAATTAATTTTCTGCGCCAAAATATACAATGAAAAGTTCATAAATAAAAAGTTATCCAAAATGCATAATGAAAGGTTTATAAATAAAAAGTTATTCAAAATACACTAAAATTTGAGAGTAAGTAAAAAATAGTATTTCAAGTAAGTTTGATTTGTAAAAATAAAATTGTTTATTAATTTTTACTATTGTATCTTATATAAGACTAGACCAATTTGATTTTTTGTTTAATATAATTCCACATCCTCAATTTTTCAAAATTATAGGAACTAATGCACATAATATTAAATAACACCTCTTTATTTTTCAAAATCTATATAGGTTAATACATATCAAATTAACTAATAAGATTGCAGCATTAAGTTGTATCTAATATTATTGTTTTTTCTTGATTTTTCACCTCTCTCTTACAAGTCATCTCATATTATGTTAACCAAAAAATCAACTTGGCATAGCCTAATTAGTATATCAGAAGCCCAACCATTGATCTTGAAAGAACTTAATACTAGAGGACATGATCTTGAGAAATATGCCTTTACAAGGTCTATAAGTTTATACTCTTTAAAACTGCAATAAATCGTAAAATCTCTATATTCCTGGTGAATGTTCAGACAATATTAAAGATTGAACCTGCTTGTGTACCAAAACTATAGAGTATCTAAAACAGATCTTTTGAAAATAACAAGCATTTTGTTTTATCAATTTAAAATAGATAGTTATCTTTAAAATCATTTTTTGTTTAAGATAAACATGAATCTCTTGAATTATATAAAAGTAACAAATATTTTAGATTTTAGATGAATAAATGAATAATTATTTATAATATTTTTTTAAACCAGATATAGCGGTTAGCATTTAAATTATAGATTTCAATTTATTTATTTATATTTTTTGTAAACCAGGTGCAATTGGGTTAGAATAAATATTTTGGGGAGAGGAGTGTTAATTTTTTTTTTTTTAAATCAGACGTAGCAGTTGAGATGGAATTAAAATTATATTATATATAGGGGTTTTTTTAAATTGGATATGCATTTAGATTGCATCAATTAGCTTCATTCAGGGTAGTATCGCAAATTTTGAAAATAGTAGTTACTATAGTATCCCAATGGTCAAACAGAACAAACTCAAATGCCAAAATTTTAAACATTTTAAATAAAAATTATTTATGCATCTTTCGCTGCAGTAAGAAGACTGGACAATTATCATGCATAATGGTAGATTGATTTGTTTAGGATTTAGGTTTTCATAAATTAGTCGAAATGTCGTTAGCATCTCCAATTCAGGGCTCTATTGAGTTCCATTACCAACACTGAGTTGTAGAATTGCACTTGAAAATAATCAATAAATTTTTTAATTTAAAAAAATTGTATAAAACACAAGTGAGTTGTCTTTATAAAAGCCAATTGTCGTGATTAAAAAATGAAATCATCCAATACTGCCGCTCAAAATTTAGAATACTTTATTGATACTTTTGACTTTGCTACTCTTGAATCAGATAGAGATTCCTAATACGAAGATACTATAGAAGAAGAGTTTGAGGAAATTAATCAGTTCAATGAAAAAAGTGAAAAAATTGATGAAAATGATCGAATAGCCGCAAATAACTTAATTGATAAACTAAGAAGCTATTGTTCATGTAAAGACAGTTGTATTAAAAAGGTTGTACCAAGCCTTTTACAATCCTTGGTATTAGAAAGTCTTCGATTGGACAAAAATCAAAAATGCTATTCGATGATGATTCTTGTAGCTTCTCTTTATAATAAACATCACGAAAACCAGACCTATATCAAGGATTATCTACTCCTGTATTTTGGCAGAGTTTGTCGTTCTTTCTTTAAAACATTTTGGTTATGTGGTAAAGATGCATTATATAATCTTTATAGTTGGATTCAAGAATGTAAATCTATGTTATCCTGACCTCATGATAATACTGGTCGCTCACTCAAGAACATCTTGTCTATTGAGACAGTTAATAAAACAAAATCTTTTATTAATTTGATGGGTGAATGACATGGTGAAACATTAACAGTTCGAAAGTATACTTGAAAAAAACAGATGAGCAGATAATAGTGATCTATAAAAAGTATGATAATGTTCTTCTTCCCTTTCACTATTCTTATGATCGTCTTCTAGCTGTATATAACTTGATGAATTCTAATAATTTGATTAAAAGTCGCAATACTTTTAAAAAAATATGGAAAAACGATCCTACACTTAGTAAGATCGCAATTAGAAAATCTTCCAAAGATGTGTGTGATAAATGTACTTTGTTTAAACAGGCGTTAAAGAAAAATAATGATATTAATGAGGATCTTGATATACAATTATTAACACATATAGCCGATTATTGTGCAATGAGAGATGCCTATAAAGATGATATACAAACTGCCAAGACATGCGATCGAACCCGATTTCGCACTTTCTCCTTCGATTTTGCTCAAGATGTAGAATTACTTCATGATTCTCAACAACCTGAAAAGTGATACTATTTACTATTGTTGAAAGCATACCAATTCGATTTGGTAGATGAAGATATTAATAATCACTGACACATAATATATACAGAAAGAAAAGCTTCTAAAGGAGCAAATGAAGTTGACTCGATTGTGTATCTATTTCTTATTTCTGCCACAGGTAATGCAAAAAAAATTCGATTATGGACAGATAATTGCGGTATATAGAATAAAAATTCTTGTCTTCTTTGATATCTTCTTTGGACCTATCATGCCCAAATATTCAAAGAAATCAAATATTATTTTCAAATTAAAGATCATACTAGAAATTCAGTTGATCGTAGATTTGGCCTTACAAAATGGGAGTATGCTAGATCAGAAGTTTGGTATATGAATCAATTAGCAGAAGTAATAGAAAAAAGTGCAAGTAACAATATGTCTGTAAATTTGGAGAATCAAATAGGACCATTCCGTGACTGGACTTCAGCACTTGGCAAATTGTATTGTAAACCCCCGGCTATACAAAAATATCATTTTTTCCAGTTTAATCACAAGAGACCTGGTATAATGAGAGCTAAAGTAAGAATGAATGATTCTTGGGATGAGTTTCAATTATTGAAAAAAAATGTTGACATTGTAACTTTGAACCCTCAAGAACTTCTTCCAAGGGGTCTTTCAGATGAAAAACAAGTAGATTTATGGGAGAAAGTTCGTCCATACTGCCCGATCACTTTCCGTGATGAGCTTTGTCCCAAACCACAGAGTGATACAATAGAGAGAGCTAAAAATATAAAGATGGCTCGTGCAAAAGAACAGAATAAACGGAATGCAAAACGAAAACAAAATGAAGATGATATAGAGCCAAAAGAAAAAAAAATAAAGTTTAAGATGCACAATCGAAACAACTAGAATGAATTCTAGAATAATATATTGTTCTTTAAATCACATGTTATCTATTTTTAAAACCCCGCATTTTGTCATACAAAAGTTCTATTTTTAAATTGTCGGGTTTTCTTTTGACGGCACTCATATATGTAATAAATCAATTACGTATACACGTAATACGTAGTTTATTTATCACTATCGTTATCAATCGTTATTATCATAACTCGAATTACAATTTACTGCATAATATACGATATACTACAAGAATTACAGTCTATAACATAATCTTTAATATGACCAAAGTTACCACCTAAGTCAATACTACCGAAAAATTGCAACTTCACTGCATAATATACTATATACTACAAGAATTACAGTCTATAACATAATCTTTAATATGACCAAAGTTACCATCTAAGTCAATACTACCAAAAATTGCAACTTCACTACAATCGGTCGTAATTCATTACCTCAACAACTACATCACTACTCCCGTTGAAGCCTTTTATATTCGGTTTGACTTGATTCTAAATTATTTTCTAATAGTTGTATTTTACTTTTTAAAGATTGTATATTATCTTGTAGTTCACGCACATTATTTCGTTCTTTTCGAACATATTCCTCGAGTGTTCTATTCGTTTGTTCTTTTTCAGCCAATTCGGCATGTTTTTTTTGCTTATATTCGTACAATTGTTTGAATTCCGTTACAACACCTGAACCTCCGGATGATTGAAGTGCACTTGTATAAGAAGATAATGCAGTTGCTTCAGCTTTCTGAATCTTTTCATTTAAATCATCAAGTTCCTTTTGCAATCGATCTTCCTCCCATTTTAAAGAACCTATAAATTAATTCATATTAATCGTATTCTTATAAATAAACACATATAATTGTATTGACACATACTCGACTGAGTTTCACTACTATAACCACTTGACTTTACAGAACCACTATCAGATAACTTTGATTTCCATGATGGATCAGCAGTTTCATTGTAATTATAATTAAGTTTTCCTCTTATAAGTGAGGTTTTCAAAGCGTTCGGTAAACTATCAGGTATTCGTTTACCTTTACTTCGTTGATTTAAAGTATGAAGAAATACAAGACATTGGTCTTTGCCTACTCGTTGTTCAAAGTTCACATCAATGAGACCCCTAAAACGATAACAAATATTTGTTTAAATAGTCCTTAATTATAGATAAAAATCAAATGAAACAAACCATGCTGCAATACACTCTTCTCTTGGTATTCCAAGCCGTTGATAGAGTTCATCAAAGTCAGCAACTGAAACCAATAAATATAAAAGCTTAATAAAGAAACATATAAATCATAGAAAGAAACGATATATATATATATTACATAATTTGAATAACTTACACCTAACATAACCGTGAGGACCAGCATGCCTCTTATATTCATTTTCGTAATTAAACTTATCAGCGGGTGGCATATACCAATCAAAATCATCAGACAATGGAGCAGTGGGAAAACCACCACTGTAACTATTCTATTTTAACGTAGATCGAAAAAAAGAGGTTCATTAAACCTGTACAATATAATATTTTAATAAAACAACAAAGATAACCAATATATAATAGGGAAATTAAGGAGATCAGACCTGGCGAGGAGGTGTAGGAACTCGTGATAATTGTTGTGATAATTGATAGGAAGGAATCGTATTTGAAATATTGAGTTGAGAAATTGTGTTGGCGGGCTGTGGAATAGGACTAATGATTTGTTGCGAAAAAAGGGCTGGATTCATTCCTAGCGATGGACCACCGCCAACATACCCAGGATTATTCCCTACAAGCAGATGTGCCTTGCCAGGAGGGATCAAGTGAGATGGGAGTGAAGAAGGTACATCCGGATATACACGAGCTAAAAGATCATTAACAAGTCTACAGGTTACCGAGAACTCATCAAAGTCGAGTTGACCATCTTTATCAATATCACAAAGATCCCTTTAAAAGCAAACAAGACTAATTAACAAACACGTGTTTTTAAGCAGCGATAAATTTATTTATTAAATACCATATTCTTTCAAGCCATGTTACTGGAAGTTTCGAATTCAAAAGCCAATTCATTGCCTGATTGCCTGAAACGTGTATAAAATGCTTAGTTGCAAGCTTCTGTCTTTAACCTAGTAAAAATGACAAGAGACTAACCTGAAAGATAGCCATTAGGTGAAGGTCCAAGGTTAGAAAAAACCTGAAAATATTGTTGCCTTTCTACGTCACTAATACCGCTCATTTGTTTTAACTTTAAGAAGTTCGTTTGTTAAAACTGCAATTAGTGCCCGGTTTGATTATGTTCGGACCATTTGTAGATCTGTTACACAGTCATTAGGAAATATGAAACTTTCTCATGATTGGTCAATTTCATACTGATAGTGATATTAAAGTTGATATATATGAGGGAATTTTGATATATAAAAATTTATAAAAATTTGTTTTGTGGCTTGGGTTGATATTAACGAGGTTGATATTAACGGGGGTAACCTGTACTAGCGCTAGAGTATGCAACCGCCGTTTAGAATGCTGGGGATGTTAATATGGCATCAATTGGTTTTAATGATTCATAACAATATTAAATATGAAGAAATTATTTACGGCAGAAACAAATTTTGGATGTGTCACATGGCTTTCGATATCATTACAAAATATAACTGAGAAAGAATTTTTTGACGATATTGATGGAAGAGTATAATGCTAGATTTTCGGTTGCATTTAACGATGCGAGTTTAAAAGACAATTTTTTGATGAAAAAGAGGGAGATATGATCGAAGAAGTTGGGTCACCATCAACTAAGAGAATCAGAACTTAAAACTTCAATAATGCATTTCAAAAATAAATTTATTTTTTGAACAGTTAAGGAAGTCCTAAGATTTTTTGACAAAAATATTTTTATCAAAGAAAAAATTAAAACCACCTTTGCCGCCGGAAGTCAAAGGAAGGTTGAATTTTTAATTGTTGTTTAAAAACATAAAAGCTTATCTGATATAAATGTTTCAATAATCAAATTTAAATGGATCTTTTACTGGAAAAGTTATAAAAGTATCCGGGTTATAGCAGATATAGTATGTAAATCTATAAAATGATGGTGTTATACCAAGAACGGAGTGATAAAATCATGAGGTTTATTGAGCATTCATATGTTCATGTGGACTTTATAGTGGCAGTATTTTGAGGACAGAAGCATTAGTGAAAATATGCAATCTTACATCTCAGGTGTAGGATCGTCTAAAAAATATAATGAAGAACGATTCAGAAGATGGTATTTATGGTGTTATGTCTTATGTCGCTTCTGAAGTTTTATTCAATATAGCAATCCGGAGTTCCAGTGGCAAATTCAGGCTGTAATTCTTTACAAATTTTATTGCAAAACCAAGATTAAATTTGTAACCATCAAAAGGTCTTTGACCTGATTAAACCTCGGAAGAGACATAAGGCATCACTGAATCGATTTAGTTATATTTTTTAGACAACCCTAGATCTGAGACGTAGGATTGCATATTTTCACTAATGTCTTTATCCTGCAAAATATTGTCACTGTGAAAGTCTGAATGAATATATTCTGCACCATGAATGTTCTAAAATCGTTAGGAATATCAAGTAGTAGTTTTGATTTAGTTTTCCAGGCAATATCACGAGAATTTTTTCTTGACAGCTTGTGAAGACTTCCATTACTATCATATTGAAATACTATTGTTTCGGTATTTGGAGTCAATCTATAAGGTAGATATGCCTAATTTGGTGCAGTGCCTAATTCGGCGCACTAACGATATCTTACGAACTGTTGATTAGAATCATGTAATTTTGGTACCATTCGATTCGTCTCATTGAGACGAATCGAATGATACCAAAATCATATGATTCTGACCGATAGTTCACAAGATATTATCATTTAACCTAAATAGCCTATTTATATA